CAGGGAGGAGGAGAGACTGTAGACCCAGAGAGAGAGTCTCTCCTGTAGCTACAGGAATACAGGGAGGAGGAGAGACTGTAGACCCAGAGAGAGAGCCTCTCCTGTAGCTACAGGAATACAGAGAGGAGGAGAGACTGTAGACCAAGAGAGAGAGAGTCTGGGTCTGTGGTCAGCTGTATTCCTGTAGCTACAGGAGAGGCTCTCTCTCTGGGTCTACAGTCTCTCCTCCCTGTATTCCTGGATATTGTGGTCAGCTTTCAGTGTATAAACCCCTTATTACATCTAAAATTGAACCTTTGACTGTAAACTGGTACAGAGAACACAGGCAGGGATCTACTGAGCAGTGGAAACAAGTCATATGGACAAGTGACTCATCCTTCACTCTGTTCTCAGCAAGAGGATGAGTACATGTGGGGCACACGCCTAGAGAAGCCTACAGGCACCAGTGGACGAGTACACGTGTGGCACACGCCTAGAAATCAAAGCCTCTGTGAGTGATCATGTTCATCGTACTGTAAGGTGAAGCATTTCTTTCCTGGATGTCCATAGGACAGGAGTGATCACTGAACGGTTTGATGAACATGAAAACAATGTAAACCATATGCAATGGCCAACCCAGTCACCAGAGTTCTAGTATAGAAAGCCAAGTGAATCATTTAACACCCAGTAACACACTTCCCCAAACAGAGAGAGGGAGAGAGCTGCTCCGTTCTGTAGAGACACGTGGGGGATTGTAGTATGGGCAGCATATATACTGTATATACATGTACATTCTACAGCATGTTGACCGAGTGGTTTAGCCAATCATTGAAATAATTATTCATAACTGCCAACTAGTAAGTGATTTCTAGCAATATAACCAAGCGGCTGGTGTAGTTGGTGGCACATGAATTCTTTATTCTCCCGCACAGCTTTGTTGAGAGGAGTACTAATCCAGGCACACTTGGTTAAACAAATATTTACTCCAATAAGAAGACACAAACTACACTACACACAACAAAACACACAACACACAAGTTACTTTATGTACAGTATTTACAAACAAGGCGTTTCAGAGGCCTAACGTTCTGGACACCCAGAAAACCCCAGACTGCTACCTAGAGAGGCCATATAACAGATGAGCTGCCTTCTAACTGAATACAAAGCAACCTGCAGTTAAATCTCTCTCTCTGCACCCCAGATGCCACAAAATTAATGGGAACCTATATCCCTACATCCCTGTCCTTAAAATTGCACCCTAAGCAGGAAAGACATTTCTAACCGAAGTATCTTTACCCAAGAGACCCACGTTCCCTAAAAACACAGAACAGCTCTCTCTCTCTGGCTGGGTTCAGATACTGAGCTCCAGTCAGGTTTGGTCTGGATGATCATGAAGTCGGGGCTCTCGCCTGGTGTGAGCTTCTAGTCCCAACTCCTTTGGACTCTTCTCTCTCCTCTCCTTGTTCCCTGCTTCTTGTTTCTTACTCCTCTCCTCTGTGTTCTTCATGTGCTCTTATATTGTGTGTGTCTGTCCTGCTCCTTGACAATCATTAATCCTTCTCTTCCTCAGGTATACTATGGTAAACTTTACAGTGGTTTCTGCTCAAGGAACCCCCCAGACCTCAGCAAACATCCTCTCTGCTTTGAAGTTAGAAGAGTTTACTCTTCCCAGTGTCACAAACTTTATCTAAAATCTAAGAGACACTTCTCAGTCACCTAAAGCTGTAAGAATAATAATTTCACATTGTATTTTCTTATCTTAAGGGTCCAATGAAGATCAAGAAAAAGACTCATCCTCTTCACCTGCTAACCGTACAAGACTTGTTTCAAAATTCACCGTCACCATGCCTACTGGTAGATCTGGAAAAACATCTCCTTGGTACAGCCCCAGAGTGTACAGACCATAGAAAGGCACTGTGTTTGACTAAATGGTGTAAACTTTCAGAATAATTTCATGCAGGAGCGTCCTGTTTCTTAAAGAACAAAGTCGTTCAATGCCAATCACTGACCACTTTATTAGGATCACAGAATATTCGTCTCAAGTAAGTCGGGATCGCTTGACGCACAGGGCAAGATGGCTGTCTTTCACTTTTACACTAATACATCGAATTCACCCTCCTGGAAAGTACGCAGCTTGGACTGTCCTGACAAGCCTGCTAGCAGCCCCGATGTCCTTGTGCGGAAAGATAATGGATGTTGTAGTGATGTGATATTTCAGCTGCACATTAAACGGATTGACTTGCTCCTACAAATGCAACAACAGTTCTGATTATATTAGATGTTTCATCTCTGACGCTTTCACTGAGCTGCATGGCAACGATCGACAATGATCCACATATTTGCTGACCATTTAAAGTAAAGGCTACATGTGCTGTAAACTCTTAAAAAACTTTTCATATGCATTGGAATTGTTTCTTATGTTTATGGTTACTTTCGTTGGTAAATGTAAAACAATACAGGATTAAAGGTAACATCTAGGATGGGGTGGCAAGTCCATATTTAGGGGTGTCCACCCCTCCTCCGGCTACACCCCTGTGACAGGGGTACGCTGTACCCCAGCTGAGGGGTGGCGAGACCAGACCTTGAGAAATACAGTCAGACAAACACATTGTGATCAAGGGGTGTCCTAGAGCAGTGGAAATCTCTACGGCGTTATTAGTGGCTCTGTGACATGGTTCCTGTTGACCCAACACTGCACACTGTTCCAGCGACAGAAACGTTTCTAAAGGAAAAAACCTCAGTCAAGGACTGACTCAGCATCTACAGTATGTGCACAGTCTGGGTGGTGTTGGACTGCTGTGTCTTGTGAGATTGTGCAGCCTGTTTTATCACCTGGGTCACTAGGAGAGTGATAAAGGGACTTGTTCTAATCTTTAATAAAACCGCCATGTTTTAACAAATTCAGAATAGCACTTCTTTACGTGTGACGTATGTACACTGCAACACAAGTCCTGATTAAAAGTAAAATATCGGTGCTTCTATCACAGTGCAAGATAAAATAAAAGATTCTGCCTGGAGCGCTTTGGAAGTGTTTTTAAACTGTTTTGTCTGTGTATTTTAACACCTCTTAACGTGTAAAAATGTATTTACATGCCTGAGAAGTACAGACTACAATCCTGTTGTTTTTGTAAGTTATAAATTGTTATTCTTCTTAAGAATGCACAGAATGCACACTGTTCTTTTTAAAATCTGCACGTGTTCACATACAATCAGATCAGATTAGCTACTAGCAGTTGAACCATATACAGTTTGTACAGTAGATGGGCAGAATGACCTGTTGTTTAGAACTGTTGTTATTTCACACGCACTAGAGTGATTACTGATGTGAACAGTTTGTATTGGAAAGTAGTGATAGTGTAGTAACACTGCAGTACTAGTTCAAGCAGGCAGCTGCGTCAGCATGCACAGGCTGCAAAGGAACAGGTAAAGGTTTATTCCGGGCTGAAAAGAGAAGAAAGGAAACACAACGTTTCGGCTGTGGAACCCCACACCCGAAGAAGACTCCACAGCCGAAACGTTGTTTCCTTTCTTCTCTTTTCAGCCTGGAATACACCTTTACACTGCAGTGCTGCTCATGGTAACTGCATCGACAGCACAAAAACACATCATTTTCCTCACTGTAGCTCTGTCACAGTTCAGCTACACACCAGCAGGTGTTACACGTCATGTTGACACTGTATTTTATCATTCTGTTAGGAATCTGTAGTCTGTTGGAATTCAATAAGCTTTTTGCCAGTGTATTTGGGTTTGTATTTTTGAATAAAAGTTAAACAATTGTTTTAAAGTGACTTTTTTCCCCTCTCTGTGATTGGCGGGTGTTAATCACATGTTGAAAGGTTGCTGTATGAAAAACTCTAGATCAGAGACAATGGGCAACACCTGGCTAGTATCGACATCTCCAGTTCTTGGGAGCTTCCCAGCGGGAAAGGAGCTGAGGTGTAGGGGTTCTGAGACACACCGATCAAAGGAATTGGTTTTGGTGTATCTTGTTTAACTAAGCTCTCGGTATATCATTAAGAAGCATCAACAATCAAGGAAGATCCATACAAAGAGAGAAGAAGGAGTGGCAGAGGAGAGGGGAGAAGGGATGGAGAAAATAAGATGAAGAGACAGGGCCAGGCGGGAGGTCCTTGTTCTGATCAGCCTTTAAGACCGGATTTAAGTATTTGAACCTTGTTAAGACGGCTTGCCATTCTGTTGTTTTTAGGAAATAGAATCCCCTCTGTTAAAAACGTTCTCTCCTGGTTGGTGGGTGCATCTTTAGAAAACGGAGATATGTTCCCATTCCATTCATCCTGTAGCACCTGGGTTGACAGGGAGTTTGGGCTCTAGGTGATATTCTGTTTGCTGCAGGAGGCAGGACTGTCGCTCTTGCTGGCCTGTGCCACAGTCCCCCATTGTCAGGGTGAAAACCTACAGGCTTGGTGCAGGAAGCAGACTCTTCTGGGACGCTGCTGAAGGTGCTCCTGCTGGGCTTCATTGCCAGTGCAGCCTTCAGGAGAAGTCACACAGCACAACCCCTTCAGTTTCAAGAGTTACGACGGGAATTTCTTGACCTTTTACTCAGTTGGCAGACAAATACTGTACCCGCAAAGCTGCTAAACCTGATTTTTTCAGGAAGAACTATGTGAATATTTTAATCAGGTGACAACAGCAGATAAACATCTGAAGGACACTTCCTTATACTTTATACCCTTATATACCCTGTTAAATAGTAACAGGATAGTTTCCGCCATTTTTGACAGTGTGATAGAGACCAACATGAGGCAGCAGATGCTGTACGACTTCAGTTTAAGAGCACAACATTTACACAAGACAGCTTGAAGACATTCACACACACACGCACGCACGCACGCACGCACGCACGCACGCACGCACGCACGCACGCACACACGCCCCAGCCAGGTTCCTCAGAGGATCTCCAAGCCACATGTTGCCTAGAGACGGAGGTCTGAAGGCTCCTGCATGCCTGATGGTCAACACCCTCCCAAGTCACGTACCAGGCAAGCGTGGCCTCACTATACACCCGCCCTCCGGAGGACAACCAGAACCACGCCTGAGGTGGGTAATGGTGTATACTCGCCTTTGAATACTAATCATTAAAGCCACTGTGGCTATGGATTATAATGATACTCCAGAACCATGAAGTGGTATTACAGAGACAATAATCTACAAACATGTAGGATCAGTGGTGTTATGAACCAGTCACTGCTCCCGAATGATTTGATCTCCCTCCTCCCTCTCTGTGCGCGACAAGAGAGAGAGAAGAGAGAGAAGGGTGAAAGTGAAAGGAGGAGAGGAGAGGAGCGACAGCGTAAAGGATGAGTTTTCCTTCACCCGGCCATCACGTTCTTGAAGACTTCCTGAAACGTGACGAGCAAGAGTAGCGACAAACGGCTCAACAAGTAAAAGCAGTGGTGGGCCAGGAACTTAATTATTACTCCAGCAAAGTGATGTGAAAATGAATCATGAAAGTTATTGAGTTGAGGACTTCCGAGCTGTAATATCCACGGATCAGCTATTACAGTTGGTCTTGCACACTGCCTTCATCTAGAAGCAAATAGTTTCACTTCATATTAATACTCACTTTAATGTTTAATATTAATGTTCACCCAGTTCACTTCCGTCTTTCGGATGAGACGTTAAACCGAGGTCCGGACTCTCAGTGGTCATTAAAGATCCCTGGGCATTTCTCGA